CTAGGGAAGCTGTTGAATTTGTACTACAACTTCTGAAGGTGGTCATTATAGTGATTCTATTGGCGTATGCTAGTGTTTATGTATATGTATTTTACATATCTGTTGTTTTGGCTTCATGCAGTACAATGACAACAGTGGGAACCCCTACTCTGATGTGTTTTGGCTTGCTGCGTTAGTTCAGTCCATTGGTGAGCTTGAATTTGGACAACAGGTATATTTGTCACTTCCATGAGCCGTTGCCAATCTGCCTGATGAATGGCCTGCATTTTTCTCTTCTATTCAGATTTTTTTCTCTCTTGTCCTTTTCTCTGAGGTTTTTAATGACAGAGTTGAGCATAAATTTGGTAGGAGCGTTTTTGTTTTTTCTTCTGTTCATTCATGTCTACCACATTTCACTTTTCCTGGATGCCTTGCATTGGGTTTCAGGGCTGTTTCCTCCCAAGTTAGCTTTCTTATTACTTAAATAGAGATTACCTTTTTGATTATTGTCAACCTGTTGGCATGTTGCAGAGCATTGTGTATTTATCATCCCTTCTCAAGCGAGTTGATCGGCTCTTGCAATTTGACAGGTGCATTATTTTCTGAATTATCATCCCTAAGTCAAGTAGCTTTTTTCACTGACTAAAGAAAAAGTAAATTAGCGTTTATTAATGATTTGAGAATGATGTTACAGGTTGATGCCAAGTTACAATGGTATTTTGACAATTAGCTGCATCCGGTCTTTGACCCAAATTGCTCTAAAGCTGTCAGAGTTTGTTCCTCTTGTAAGTAATTTCCCTTTCATCTGGTATCCCCTCTAGAAACTGGCATATGTAGATTATTATTATTGGTGGTTACAGGATCGTGTCATTGAGCTCATTAATCCATTCCGAACTTCGAAGACACTCTGGAAAGTTCGGGTTGAAGCAAGCAGATCACTTCTTGATCTTGAATTCCAGCGCAATGGGATTGATGCTGCATTGGCATTGTTTATTAGATATTTGGATGAAGAGCCAACTTTAAGAGGTTCTGCGCAGTTAATAATTTTGTCGGCCAGATCATTTATTTCTGTTGATGAAAAACAGCCTAGTAGTTCAGATTTACCACGTTGATTTCTGTTTATTTATTGGATAGAGGTGCGGCAAGTAAATAGTTTCTGTTTTGATCACAGGTCAAGTGAAGTTAGGTGTGCATGCCATGCGTTTATGCCAGATTAGAAATGAATCTGATTTTGACAGTGATGTGAAGGGTGAAACTCTTGTTGCTTTATTGCGCCTGCTTGAGAGCCCAATCTCGTTTAACAATGTTATTCTTCGTCATTACTTGTTCTGCATCTTACAAGTCCTCGCTCGAAGGTGCTTATTCTTGCATTACCTGTTAAATTTGATGGATTTCTGGTACTTCAATCTGTTCTGCTATCTGCTGGAAATGGCAAGGAAACACATTTACTTGCTCCCTTTGGTTTTATAGAATTCTAATTGAAGTGTCTTTATGTTCCTTCGGAAAATTGCTTAGTGTATGAAATCATTTTGCCAGTGTGATTTACCTTTTGCAAGGTAAGATTTACATATTACGACACATTTATCACACACACATTTTGCCAGTGTGATTTACAAACACATTAGAGCATTGTTGTGTTTACTTTTTCAGACCTATTGCACTTTGAAGTTTTTCCATCAGTCTGTTCTATTGGAACAGTAACTTTTCTGGTATGCAGTTGGGTAAGATTTTTATGGTTTAAAATTTTTACTTATCTTCTTTCAGAGCGCCGACACTGTATGGAGTGCCAAAAGATGAAACTTTGAGGATGGGGCATGCCGCATTTTGCAGCAATCTTAAGAATATTTTCGCTGATCTTGTCAAACAATCTAAGCCTCCTGAATTTCCTCTGGAGAACCTTGAAGATATTCTTGATGATTCAGCCATTGCAGATGCTCTTCCTGGCAATGAAAATGCAAAAGGTGCTACTATCTCAGTACCTGATAGTTTATTTGTATCAGAGGTCCAGAAAAACACGGAGGATGCTCTATTGAGTAATGAAATTATAAACACTGCTACTGGTTCTATACCTGATAGTTTGGTTGTTACAGAGGTCCAGAATGAGACAGATTTGCTGAATTATAGGCATGGAGTAATGCATCTGGTGGGTGACTTCCCACTGGCTAGCTCTGCAGATCCTTTTAGAGAAGAACCTGTCTTACCTGACAATGAGCAAACAAAGCCAATGGTGAGCCTGTTACATGAGACTGGAGGTATGTCCATGGGCCCCCCAACAACCGATAACCTTGGCAGCCGTGATCAAGGGCAGCCAGCAATCAATCTTGGACAAGATAATCCAGGAATTTCTGAACCTATCAGAGAACCTGATGCTGTTTCTGCAAGTCTTGAAAGAAAGAAGCCTGTTTTCAAGATTAAAGTGAGAAAAACTGTCACATCTTCTCGAGCTGAGGATAATGAAAATGTAACCGTGGACAAATCTCAAGATGGTTTTCGTGATGTTGACCGTGGGGCAAGTAGCTCAGTTTCTGTTGATGCACCTCAAAGAAATGTTGTTGAATTGTTGAGCAGTGGCGGTAACCAGTTCCCTGAGGATGTTAACTCTTGTCATGATGTTGGATCTCATGTTACTGCCAGCATTGGAAGTGCCAAAGTTGCAGTTGAAGTTGAAGAGCTAACAAAGGAGTTGCAGTGCACTGCTGAGTCGAGCAAAGTTTCTTTGGTGCCACAACTTGATGGTCACTTATTAGCGGATATCACAAGAGTTGATGATCCTGAGGCTGAACCACATAAATATGCAAGTTTGCATTCGCTGACTATGCCTAACCTTCCAGTTCACGGCAAAACGAAGGAAAAGAAGAAAGACAAAGGAAAGAAACGAAAGCTGGAGGGGCGCAAAGATGACCCAGAGTACTTGGAGCGGAAAAGGTTAAAGAAGGAGAAGAAACGGAAGGAGAAGGAGTTAGCAAAGATTTTGAAAGACGAGGCAAAGGCTTCCACATCCTTGGAGAGTCGGAGGAAGAATGAGCAGCGAGGCACCAAAGCAGAGACAATCAGGAATGATCATAAGCTAAGTTTAGTAGAGCAAGAAGATGGTAGAAAAGATGAAGCTGAACCCAGACAAGTGGTGAATGGTGCAGAGGCGAAGGCAACATCTTCAGGCTTGTCTGGTAGAAACGAGGATATCGGGGCTAAAGGAGCAAGCTTGCAATTGAAACCCGGGGGCTCTAGTGGGGTGATGTTAAATGTAGATAGAGGCGATACGAGTCTAAATGCTGCGCCACCTACTTCTTCACATAAGTTCAAAATCAGGATTAAAAACCGAACGCTTGGTAAATCATGATTTGTGTAGTAAATAAATTTCCTTGTCGAAATAGGTAATTTGTTTTCTATATGTACTATTCATGTGTAGATTTTGTATCATGCAAGAAATTTAGTCTTTAATTTGATTACATGTACTAATAAAAAGGTTTGCATTTTTTTCTCTAATGTCAAAGCTGTTGGGGTTGTGTATTTTGCATTATCATTTTTTTTTTAAGTGATTACTGATTGGGATCAGTAGGAGGGATAAAATAAATAATTAGAACCTGTGATTGTACAATTCAACTTTTTAACTATGATCAATTTTATATATTTGAATAAAAAACAGTAATGTTATGGTCAAGATCTGAGCATTTACAGTACAGATTAAAGCAGCCTACAATTTCATAAAGAGGATTGATTGCTGGGACTTGGGAGTATTAACTGAATCTACTTTTTCTCTTTTTCTTTTCTTACCAATAAGAGATGAAACGTATGGACGGTCAAATGATGAGGATTTCTTTCTCTTGTTGGCACGCCATTTTAATTTTGTACTTGTGTGCCGACTTAGCTCATAACAAGTAACAACATCAAGGTTTTCTATTTTAAGGTTTGGTTGATCGGTCGGATATGATTTGAAGAAATTTTATGTTTGATTGGATGTGTAATTTGATTTTTTTTTAAATTCTATTTATTTATGTTAAAGAAAGACAAAAGTTTGACATCGATGGTTAATGAGATGGGTGGACTCTTTATAATGCTTGGACAATTCTCCTTCCTTTGAGCTAGCTTTGAGGTATGAGTTAGGCCTAAGACCTAAATTAATATGGTAAGCCCGTTTCACCCGATGTTGGGTCTCCATAATAAAAAAAAAAATTGCCCACGCACCATATGCTAAGCACCGGGCGATGTAAGTTAGGCCTAACACCTAATTTAACATTTATGTATAAACATAACGCCCACAATTTGTGAACTATCAAAACATTCAAAATTTAGTACAATCTTATCAAATGATCAAATTACAGTTTATTTATTCAATGTATTGCGTTAAATGTTACTAGTAATCATATGTCTGCATAATCCTTTTTATATATAAATGTTATTTGAACCATAATTTAGAATTTGAGATCCTTTTTTTAAAAAAAATAATATATTGGAATTTGAAAATTCCAAAAAGAAAAACTTGATACTGCGCTCTTAACTTCTATAGTCAAATGCCTATTTAAATTCAATAGCTTATCTCAGAGCGTCGTGTTGCATAACACATTATGATTTTGGAACATGGTCAGCCATGCGCAAAAGCTTACTCTACCGTCACTCCGTCAGTTTCGAATTATCGACCGTTTGATCGATGGAATAAGAATAACAAAATAGTCAACGTAAAAATAATATGATTTTATAAAACATGACAACTGATTTTTGAAAATAATTAGTTTTGAAATCATTTTATCCTACTATACATTAAAAATGATGCGATTAGTTATATCATGTATACATAAAACATAAAACATGATAACAAAATATAATATCCTTATCTGTCTAATCTCGCATATCGAAAACGTTTTCTTATTTTTTGTTATAAAGCTGTAGTATTAATACTGTATATCAATCTTATCCCCTAGAGGTACAACCTAAAAATAAATAGTAGTGATCATGATGTTATATAGGGTGATTGATTTATGCAATCTTTCTTTTAGGGATTTGTTGGAAATATTGTCCCGTCATATTGCGTGCCGCTATCGATTTTCATTGATGCTACAGTATACACTTTATTTATTTTTGAGTTTTGAGCCTTTATAAGAAGTTTCTTACTTTAGCTGTATTTCATTGGTACCACCAAAACGATAGGTACTTAATATACATTTCTTTTAATGGTCCTCTAGGACCATAATAGATACGTGTCGATTTTTCTACTCTTTAAAATCGGTCCTGATTTAAAGGTGTCATTCCTTTGTGTATCTGTTTCTAATAGAAGAATGAGTGATTTGTTCAATCTCTAAGGTATTATGGCCTCACTACTCGATTTTCGAGGGCTAACGGCTTAAGCAAAACTATAAGGTAGAGGTTTTTGAATTTGAAAATTGAAAGAAGAATATGGAATTTCATGATGCTAAACTAAATGTTTTCATTTTTTTTTCTTCTCAAAAATCATCATAATATGTAATAAGTGGTACGTAGCTTGTTGATGACATTTTGTTTTTATTTATCAGCTTGAAAATTTGTACAAGTTATGAAAGAAATGAAGATGGAACATTATTAGGGCAATATTTCAGGTCAGTTTCAATCACTTCTCATTCTTCTTCTAGAACTCTTTCTTTTAGCTAAAACTAGCATTTTTTTTTAATATTAAAACAAAGTTGTGCCTTGGGTGTTTTTGTATTATGAAGTGAAAATAACAAAAATAGTTGATATGAGATAAAATAATTCTTGTTTTTGTTTTTATGTTATTTAAAATAAAGTTAATATAATGGTTAGGTTTTTATATCTACAAAATGAGTTAAAAAAAAAGTGTAGAAATTACAAGGATTTTAGTTCTTTTTTTTTTATATATATAATAAAAAGGAGTGGAAATAACTAGGTTAGAATTTCTAGTTTTTTTTATTTATTTACAAGAGATCTTTGAATTTATAAACAATGAAAGACTTAGATAAAGAGGTGCAATTCAAAACATGTCTTTTTTTCTCATTTATTTGCACCTTCAAATTCCCAATATATATTACTATCTACTACTACTAAAAAAAAATTTTTTTTTTAAAGCATATTATAATGACTAGGCACCTGTGTGGGTCAACCGATCGATACTCATGTTAAAAAGATATGTAATTAGTTATAGAATAGTATATTTTTTGAATTAGGAATTAAATGAAAAAATAAAAAGATGCAATGATTAGGACATTTCTTAAATTGTTTTGTCGTTTTAGGATATTAAAAAGAGGAGTTCTTGCCTTTTTGGAACTCCAGGATTCATTCTCTGAAATAAAAACGAAACACAGAAAATTTTTTGTCTTCTTCACTTTAGATTTATACAGTGTAGTTTGTCTTTATATGTTATTATATAATTTGACGAGTGAAACAAATTTCATATATTATAGGAAATAGTTTCTTATTGAAATAGTGAAAATATTTTTAACAATACTATTTTATCTTTTTTTATTAATTCAGTCAAAATATCTATAATAAATTTCCTTTCTACTCGTTTATATGACTCACTTTTCTTTTTAGTCCATTTTAAAATATACATTTTTGTACTTTGTAATAGTTTAAAAATGTTTATTTTTACATTTCATAAAATAATGTATAGTCTGAGCAACATCTATGACATTTTTTAGATCACAAATTTGAAAAATCATTCTTTATTTTTTAAATTCTATGCTGCAAGCAGTGACGGAGTTTAAGATTTTTAATAAGTGAGTTCAAAATCTGAAGAACTAAACACATGAACAACTAATCGAAGTGGGTTCAACATCTACTGTATATACAAAAAAATATTTTTAACCTTATATAAATAGTACTCCCTCTGTCCCAATTTTTATGTGGCCTACATTCATTTTCAGTCAATCTAAAAAAGAATGACATATTTCTATATGAAGTAACAATTTGACGGTAAAATGTTTATTTTTTCCTTGATTGAATAATTTACAATCACAAAAATTCTATCGTTCATTTGGACCACAGGTTTTAACAGTTTTCCTTTTTTCTCTTAAATTTCTTGTCAAGTCAAACTACCTCACATAAAATGAGACGGAGGAAGTAATATTTTTCGCCGGGGATGAATTTGGTCGCAAGTCAAACTAATTGATATAAATTGAGACATAAAAAATACGAAATCTGTTAGAAGTGAAAATCGTGTGTTTTATTCAATTCTTCACTTTCTATCAAGCAAAAAAAAAAGTTTGTTGTTGCTACTAGAGGGAAAAGTGATGATGATAATGTAGATTGGTTAATCATTCTATAGAAGTTAGATCAGGCCAATATTTGGGCTTTTAAGAAGTTTGCTAAATGAAGTAAAAATATGTCCTTAAGCCTAATAGTCCAACTCAGAACAACAGGCCCCTGGCCCATTTATATTGTTCACTCCAGCTTTTTGGGGATATTCTCGTACTCCAAGCTAAATAAAATATTATTTGACCTTTGAACAATATTTTGTTGAATTTCAAAAAAAAAAAAAAGAAAGAAAGACGATAGAAGTTCATGTTTTAAAAGAGTTAAAATTATTTTGTAGTTTAAGTTGGAAAAAAAATGATACGTGTATCTCACATAAATACGGATCAAATTAGGTGTAATTTATTTCATATACATTATATCTAAGTGTGATTTGCATGTATCTGAGATACACTGACTCTCTCGTTAGTCTTTCTCCTCATGTATGTGTATGTAAAAAAAATTTTGATATCAAAGTTACATGTATTGAGGGAGAAATATGAAGGAGTTGCGAGTTGAATCTGGTACAAAGTTATTAATTAGTGAGTCATCAAACTATAAAGTAGATTAGATATAAAGATTACGTTATGCGAAATGTAATCTTTATATCAAATTCAACCTGAACAATCCATCCAAAAATCGCTTTTAAGTTTTGATAAAATCAAATGTTAATTTATCTTAATTTATTTTGATCCGTTCAAATTTAATCCAAATCGCTCCAATCGCGACCAGAATAGCCCAAAGTGAAATGACCATGGAGGCATAGAGCAGTTAAGCAGTATCCAGCCCACAGTGACCCTTAAGGCCCATCAGTACGGTGATATCTCATGGGTAGATATGGCTTCTAAAGAATATCAATTCTAATGATTCTCACTCAACTCCTGTGCTACCTACTTTATACACATTTTAATATTCTTTATATGATTATTTGACGTCTAGGATTAAATAAAAATACTTTTGGTATATGATATTTGTGCATAATCAACATAGAAAAAAAGATTTTCGAAACAATACGAACATACAATGCACATGATTTTTTTTTTTTGCTTTTTGGAAAAAATTACTATATACTTTTGGGTTGGGCAAGGAAGAAGAGCAAGTGCTTGAGTTTGCTCCAAGTGAGGGTGCCATTTAGATGTTTCAAATATTTTTACGTGTTTATGAAACAATCTAATATCTAAGTAGTTCAATTGATTTGCTATTAGTTCGATTTTTTTAAAAAAAGGAAAATGTTGACAAAAATTACTTAACAATATTATTTCTTGCCAATTTCCAAGTATGTAGGAGATCAACTAATTCTTAAAAGCATGAAATTTGATACTCTCTATAGTATAGGAGTACTGTTTTGATGTAGAACAATGCAAGTGATTAAAACAATTAATAAACCGATAAATATGATATTTACAACTAATTAAATCAATAATTGCGAGACATATTTTGTATTCTCACATTTGGGTTTTAACAATGATTAAGTGATGTATATTTTCATAACACTGAAAAGAGGTGATTAGGCATGACATGACATACTTGTAACTTACTAAGTATATGACCCTAGATAGGAATATGTAGGTCGAGGATTATCATAGAAGGTTACTAAGTAGTTTAACGTTGTCTAAATTTCTTTGTCAGTAGTGTTAGTATTACTCTTCTATATATAATCTTACTTGTTGATTTTTATTATTATATGTTGTTCTTTTTGTCTTAAGTTATCTTTTTATTTACTATTGTTACTATTCTTTTCACCATTATTTTTATCATTACTTCTTCACTATTACTATTCCCTTTTAATACATGTTTTGAAATTCTTTACTTGAGTTAGAAATCCGTCATAAACAACTTTTTATCTTTATAAGATAGGTGTAAAATCTAAATACAAACTATCCTCTTCAAAGCGTTTATATTGTTGTTATATTCTCACAATAATTATCAGCTAAACAAAGTAACAATAGTTTCCTCTCTAATAGCTATACTATTAGAACAATAATGAGAAACAGATTATCATAAGATACCAATAATTAGTGATGGTACTTAGAACAATACTTAATTTTAGCATATATCAATGTTACTAAGAATTAAGTTAAAGCTGCCGATTGACAGGCTATATATGTTGTGGGCTAAAAGATGCCAACCGAATATTGACATCAATGTCTGCAATAGTACTAGAGTAATAAGTAGTAAAACAAAATGACACTTGAAAAACATGATAATCGTACGTACTCAAAATTTTAAAATTATGAGTTCTGAATTATTGAAAGATAAGTTTACTTTGTTCTGAATCAATTTGTACATATTAAGTGAATCTCTTTAAGATATGTAAGATGATTTTATCGAATTTGTATCTAAAACTCTAGTTTTATACGTCTTTGCTTGAAACAAAGAGATAATGAACAAGTGATGAAGACATCATCAACGTTAGGTATCTATAGTAACACATAAAAATATCTTGTATTGTTAATTTTTGCTTTTGAGAATGTTGACATCTCTATTGAAGGGGTATAAGGGGGTCCTTTAGAGGATTAGACAACATTTGACACAAGCTTTTTGTTCAATTATTTTGCTTGGCCCTATATAATGTGCGTTACACTAAAACCACATGAAGGGGAAGTAGAAAAAAAAGAGAATGTACTTGACATCTCTATTGAGAATAAAAGTCATGAAGTGATTGATCATTTAATTTGACCCATGCGTGACCTTTAGCCTTCTTATTATTGGTGGTGTGCATATAATTTGACCCTTGACAAGCTTCTACAATTTCCTTTGGTTTTATCTCAATTAGGTCAAGTGTGTGTTTGGTACAATAAAAACTTATTCTATTAAACGTATATTAAAGACTTGTAGCGTGAAAACTATTTTTCGAAATCAAGGCATGTTATAAACTAACTGGAATCAATAATCAAAAGGATAAATAAAAAAGCGCTTTAATTTGTCAGAATATTTTATTTACACATTTAAGCTAAACTTTACTTCAGTAAAACACACTAAACTAGAGCACTCAAATCTTGTTCGACTAAAGGCTTTAGATTTTTTTATACAGAGAGTGACCGATTAATTAAGAAGCACAACATGATAAATGAATGAATTTTTTCAATTTTAATTAAATATTTTAAATTCGAACCAATAAATTTCGATTTTGAATTTTATTAGATGAATTTTTTTCTTTTTAAGGGAACGCTTCACTTTTACTAGTCTTAGCCTATTAGGCGGTGGCCAAAGAATTCTAGCCACGTAATGATGTAAAAAAGGCATGACTAGCTGTTTGGTTTTGCAGCCGAGCCGGCCATTTTTATAGGTAGCCCTCCCCCCAGGCGCGGCGCTCTATCAGGTTAGGGTTCTTCAGGCGGCTTCAAATTAGCAGAACCAAAAAATGATAATTAATTAGATAAACTTATCTATCATCTGTTAAGCATCTGATACTTTCTTGTTTTTTTTTTTCTTATCACATCAAGAAAAATACACCCAAATAAAAATTCTATAAGGCATATAATTTAGGTTCTTTTTTCCCCAATTACAGTTTCAGATGCTCTTCCTTTACCTTTTACACCAGTGTCCAATATCTGTATTGGAACGGGACAGGTTCAATTTTGAATTTTGAATCTCAATTATTCCATCACAACTCGGATCTAAAATGCTTTAGGCATTTATTCCATTTTCACCTTTCACCGTCGAATCTGAGCCCTAATTTTATCTTTGTTCTAGGGTTAGAAGAAAAAAATATCAGAGGAGTTCATGGTACAAAGAGGGTGCAGGTAGAGCACGTGTATATACAGAAACCCTAGTGGGGAAGAAGACACAGAAGCAATATGATAGGTCAAAAAACCCTAAATTTGTGCTGTAGGTGCCTGCAGCTAAGCTAATTCCACCTTATAGGATGGGGGACCAAATATGGTGTGCCCGGGCCACCATAAGGTTCAAAATTTTGTGGCCGTGGGTCGAATAGTACACTGAGAAACATATACTCCTCTTCTTTCCCACAATTCATTAATTTTGACTGCTCTGTAGTCTCTGTACTATCCACTCCGGTCTCGAAGAGGCGGATTTAGAATTTAGATATAGCTAAAAGTATATGAACGTTAGTTGAAGATGCCTGTTTTATTAAATACCCATTTAACTGATGTATACCATCATAAAAATGTAAATAGAATGGCATAATGGGATGAAGCTTACTTAGTGGACGCGTGGTTTGAACATTACTTTGCGTACGTTAGGTTGTCTGTTTGAAATCTATTAACACAACTCGGGTTGCACGCCCTTTAAGGGATGCTTTTTGTTGAAGTTAATTGGTGCATGTGTTTTCAGGTGAACTTATCTTTAAATGCGATACTATCATACTTCTTAATTTTAGGATTTTTTTTTCTAAATTAAAAATTAAACTTAACAATATATAAGTTAAAAAAAAAATTCTAAAGTATTAAGAAATTGCAATCTTCACTAAACTCTTTTAAAGTTTGGTGAATTATATTGGATTTTTATTTTTTTTAAAAATTGATAGTAATTTCCAACTCCAGCTAATTAAACCAAGTAATTGAATTCTCGAATTCACATCATGTCTGTAAAGTTCTTCCAAGTCAAATATTACTGCTATTACTAGTATTTACTCTAACCATATTTGGGTTGCTAGAAAGTAGAAATGCATTCAAAATTCAGAATAATGTGAAATTAGAATATCAAAATAAAAATACGTTTAAAATTAAACTTATTACATTTAATGTAACTTAAAATTTCCTACGGAAAGAGCAAGACGAAATGCATAAGCAGAGAAGGGCCTGCAATAGTAACATATATCATTATTTATAAAAATAAGTTTTACACGTGATATTTCACATCGATAATATTAATTAATGAACGGTTGTGTCTGAGACTCAGTTTTTTGGTCACTTGGACTCAGCCTGGAATATTCTTTCCAAGTTTCATGTGTGGATTGTAGAACACTCATCATATGTTTGGATTGGTGGAAATTATATAATGTATACAAAAACATGTCTCTTTCTATTTTTCTTTCTTTCCATTCTATTTTTTTAATTAAAAAAATTTACTTAATTTGACAACTTTTAAATAATGATGATGGACATAAATCACTTGGTTTATATATATGCGATCATTTAAGTAAATTGATACTCATGCTGTCTTAAAATAAGCGTTTGTTTAAAAAATAATTTTGTTCCGAAATAAGTTTTATCAAATTAGTTGTATCTTTTTTCAACTATTTAAAATTTCATATCCTTAAAATGTTCAACTTTCAAAACAAATATTTATTAAATATGATGAATAGTTTTATAAACTACACATTACAGTTTTTAAATTTTTAATGAACATGAGCACTCCTCAAGATCCAAATGCTAATTAATGCTTTATATATTTGTTGTACATGCTTTATATAGATTAATTATTATGTATATAGAGAGATGTATATAGTATAATTGTAATTAGGTTAGATCAAGCATTTTCTTATATATAATTAAAATCAAACCTGAGTTGTAGTTTATGTAGTGTCTAGTAACTTTTTTTTTCTTTTTCATTCCGTTTTTAATAATCGATACTTATATGGAAACTCAACTTCGTATAGGATTGATTCGGAAATTGCATTTTTTATCCGGAATTTTTTCATATCTAAGGCTTAAAACTGAAACCTTTATTTAATAAAAGAGTAATTAATCTTATCCGCCGCATCACACTCCTAATTGGGTGATATGTCTATTGTACTTGCATTAGTAAGCCAAAACCTTGCAAGTTTAACAAAGATGCAAGAAAGATGTGACAAATTAAGATCCTAATTAATTCTCTTCAGGTCTAATAATTAATTATATGCATATATTTGAGGAGAAATTTAGGAATTAAAAATGTTGGTCACAAAAAACAAAAGATAAATCATTTGGGAATGTCACCTATGAGGATATGTTTCATTTCTTGTTCCCCACTTTTTGCTTCTCCTTTTTTTGGTTCATTTAACCTATCCATTACCTTTCTCCTTTTATTTCGTAGTAACTCTCTTCATTTAACCTTTTATTCTCATTAAGCAATCATTTTCAGTACTATATATATGTCACTACCTATATTTCTTGGTCCTCAAGACCACCCATATAGTTATCCTCATCTACTAATAACCTTTTGTGAGTGCTATATTAGCCGGATGTGGTGTGGGGTTTGACATGACCCCTATGGATCTATTCGAAAGTCCATGCACGAAGGAGGAGGACATAAACCTTAGCCTCAAAGGATATTCATGTAAATCGATTTAAATTATCATATTAAATAAATTGGTCCAATTTGATGCCTTTAATAACCTTATGTGAGTGCTATGCACGGAGGAGGACATAAACCTTAGCCTCCAGGGCTACATGTCCAATATTTCATGTTAGTCGATTTAAACTATGATATTAAGAAAATTGGAGAAATTACACCAATAGTATACATCATATATCAATGAACGCAAGAATAAAATGGGTTTTTAGCGATAATTAACTAGACATTAACAAAGTAATATCAATTAATTGTCCCAATGTCACAATACTGTCTCAAGAAACATTGACAAAAAGTGTTAATTGCCTCTGAAAAAACATATTTGACGACAATTAAGCTATTACCTTTAATTAATTATGGCTCGTATTCATTCTAATGCATGGGAGATCAATAACCTTCATTCATCTAATGAACCAAAAACTAATTAATGTCATCCACTAGCTAGGTCGTGAAGATTTGATTTTGAGAAAATCTTTCTTGAAAGTAAATCATAATTATTGAAGTAGTCGGCATATCTTAATAATTTGTCTTGTACCTGATATTTAAATTACGTTTTGAAATAGTGGAAAAGTTACTATTACGACATTAATTGGTGTGTGACTGATCAGATCAGATGTGACTTATTATTAGTAAAGATCAAATACTATGAATGTAACCTAGTAAATTCATCCCTCAATATTACAACATTATCCTCTTCTCTGACTTTTGTGACTAAACCTTAATTTTGCAGAAATGAAAAGTTTTGTCAATCAGAGGTTGTTTGGTGGGAAAGGATATAAATAAATAGTCTTAAAAGATTTTTAAAAAATATTTCAGGGATAAAATTTTGATGCGTTGTTTGGTTGCCATGTTTGAGATATAACTTATCCCACCATTTATATCATAGTGTGACGGTATAAGTTATCACATATACATGGTGGATAAGTTATCCCATGATGATAAATCCTGGATAACTTGTTCCCAACCAACCAAAAGATCTTTGAAAGTATTGAAGGCTGTTTCACATCGGATGAAAAAGGGACTCTCTTGGGCAACCGAGGTTGAGTTAGTCATAGTATTAAAGCAGGACCCATCTCAGTTCTTATTTGGGAAGTGGAGTGTTGAAGAGTCACATGCATGTGATCGGATGAAAATGGGATGGGTGCAGGGTCTCTTTATACTGTCTCGGACAATCTCCCTCTAATAACGAGCTAACTTTTAGGGTTGAAATAGGTCGGAGATTGATTTCTTTTATCAAAGAACACAGAATTAATGCACAAGTTAAACAAGAGAATCTCTTGGCACAACTAGGATCATAGTAATGATTCTGGAAATGATACCATTATATTTATGACCATTCATCTCAAACTACTTTGATAGACCTAATAAATTTGTCTTTTCATCCACTTAGGTTAATGGAATGATATAATCAATTAGTAGAGAAACTAATTAATAAGTGCTATAATAGTTAGCAGTATCATTTTATTCCTTTTGATTTGCCATACAAAGGCAAGAAACAAAGAATAACTAATGAAGGATTATAAGGTCACTGGTGATGACTGATGATTTAAAATTCCTTCACTAACATACATCAGAGGTTAATATAGAGAATTATTTGATTGATTTCATGAAAGCAACATCTTTAAGGCCTCTATTTTCTACGCCAATTACGTAAATATAAACTATAGACTTCGTTAAATCTGTATGGTTATTCTCAGTACATCAAACAATAACGTGGTATGACTCAGTTCCAAATAAGTTGAGATAGACCATATGAACCCTTACTATATATGTGTGTCTGCTTCATTTAAGCTCCTGATCTGATCAATTCAATGTTATAAAACCTAGTTTACTGGCGGTAGAAGTTTTCTTCACTCTTACTAACATATACATATCTAACAAGTCTAGTAGACTCAAATTCAAGTACACTAACATGACTATAACTTAATTCCTAACTATTTGGTATCGCCTATATATAGCGATCTATCTCTCCTCTTATCTTTCTTTCACTTCCATGGATTCAAAGAGATTGTAGGTCGTTCAATACTAGTACCTTCAATATGATTTTAGTTCTACCTCGTCCCCTTTAACACTCACACTTTCAGGCTCATCTCAAGCGATCTTCTCATTTTATCTTATGTGTACTAGCTAGCTACTTGCACCTTCTATCACTTTTTAATTTTGTCTAATCTTCTATGACAATACATCCATCATAGAACTCATATTGATCTATGATGCTAATTTTATGGATATGTTTGACTTTAGAGGCCAATCATTAACTCCTATATATAAAATTTTGTTGATTTTTAATGCTATTGTATGTAGAGCTTGACTTTCATCACTTTGGTAAGATACCACTTCTATCACATAACACACCAATAGCAATTCTCTTGTTTTGTTTCAATCATCCTAACTATTTTGATTTTATGTGTCATATTTTTATCTATTAAATCATTCTCCTTGAACATTATGCCTGGTTATCTGAATCATTCGTAGTTCAATATTACCATTGTCACTGTTAGGTTGAGTAGTTTCTTGGTCCTAAGTTGATATACTTCTAGCAACTATATTCCATCTAATCTCACCTCAAGCTTATTTTTCCCTATGTTTCCGCTAATTAATACATGCGTTTTTCTCAATCATATTAAGATTTAATGAAGAAGTTAAAATTTTGGATTGTACAATATTACTATAAGATTTTCGAATCTTAATTTTTACTACTAATTTGTTCTATATATGTGTGGCATCTATCTTATCATGCAAATAATAGTTTTGGAATCCTTTTGAAACTTCATCAGAATATATATATGAGTGGACAGTTACCCAAACATTATCTACAGAAGAATTTTGACTTTAAGATATTAAGTTAATTATACGTATAATATATATGAGATGTATAGAGCCAATAACATATAAAAAAAACATTAACAATATCTTTGTTTTTTTTTTCTTAGTTAGGCATATATATTTTGGTATTGTATTTCATAAAAAGTATAGGTTATACGAGGGGATCGAACCTCACCTCCAACAAATTAAAGATAATTGTGTGATCTAGGACTTTTGTAAGAAGTCTTTTCACTTTATGATGATAATATTTTATTTTGATATAAAGTCAATTTTATGACTAAATGGTAAACTGTCAAAGAATAGAACTTCTTATCAATTAGTGATTAATGTTCCCGTCTTTAATGATTAATTATTAATGGACATACTAGTTATTTTTAGGTGTTTTTTCTTTTTCTTTTTATTGAGAATGACTTGAAAGATAAAGATGAGCTTATTTATAAGAAAAATACAAGTTGTTTTTTCATGGAATACACACAATAATAAAATAGACAAATTCATTTTACATTACCAACATGACCAAATAGCCTTCTTGTGAAGTTGCACTAAATCAACAAGAACTTCTTTGCCCTAATTAAGCTTCCCATAACTTCCCAGAATACTGGAAGTTCGCAAATTGATGCTGCAACACAAAAATATAAATAAATACTTGGCGATCGGGTTAATAATAATAATAGAAAAAATAATTTATTAATTAAATTAGTACATACCTCTTGAGAAATTTCAGTATTGATTTGGTGATAGTTGAACATAAATGGGCTCCAATTGCTAGTATCCACCAAATTAAAGTTATCAACAACATTCATATTATTATTATTATTATAGCCTTGAATACCTGATTGATGATCTTCAAATGTAGTATTCCAAGATCTTAATGATCTTGTTAAATCCTCATCAGCCATAGATTGATCACCATTATTATTATTATTCGTGTTATCATTTAGGCTTTTCTTTATTATTGTTCTTTCCCTTGCCCTTGCTCTTGCTTCTTTCCTTGATTCCTTTGCAACAACTGGATGAATTATTGCCCTACGAATCGACTTAACTTTTTTCTTCTGTTGCTTCTGAGTTTCTGCTGTATTAGTTGCAGCTGATTCGTCGATAACTTCACATGATTCGGCGGAAGGAGATGATACAGTAGCAATATTAGGATTTTCACTACCGCTGCATTTGTCTTTGTTAATTTTCTGAACCAGATCGTTCACCGCTGATTTTGACTTTGTGAGTAGCCATTCTACAGTTTTGCTGGCTTTATCGAACCCAAGCAAGTCTTGCAAATTGAAGAATTTGCGAGCAATTTCAAGTGATAGTCTCATTCTTCGGTCTCTTGGGCCATGTGCCGTGTTGATTTTGCTGTGTCTATCTTTCTTCGAAGGTCCTACACCAGCACTACCACTCGTAGTTCTCTTGTTGTTTTTTCTACGAATAGTACTAGTACTGCTACTACTCTTCTCATCCTTCTTGTTATTATTGCAGCTTTTTATGATTGATTGATCTTCTTCTATTTTATCTAGTTTGTCCGAATCAGCAGCTTCTTCTGCAGGAATATTGGTATTCTGATCGTAACTAGGTTGGATGAATTGAAAATCATGGAAATATTGGATGAATTCGGGTTCATATTGCATAGAAGGAGATGGAATATTAATGTGAAAGAAAGATGAAGAGCTGGAAATATTGGGGCTGTAATTGCTCGAAGGGTACATCTTTAAAAAAAAAAAAAAGAAACTGGTTGATAAGGACAACCTAGCACACTTGTATTGAAGTTGAAATAACCACAAACATCAGCTTCTTCAGTTTGACACTTTTAATAATCTAGCTACCTAGCTGCATCAACAAAAAGTAGGAAAAAAGAAAAGGTTATAAATTAATTAAAACTTTTTTTGAGAGAGACTCTTCATAATTCTCTTGGATATATAAATTTTGAATACAAAGATAGCACATAGAGAAAGTGGGAAAGGATATGTGGTTATTTTTAATTTTTTTTCAATATAATGATGATAATATAGCTTTTTGGTTGAGAAAGACAGGTGATTAAAAATATGTGGCTTTACATGTATGTTGCTTGGTGTGTGCTTAATTATGATAATAATAATAATAGCTAGGTATAGGTGTATATTAGTGGCTATTTTTGTGTTCGTGCAAGTATTAGCACTATATATTTAAGCTAGTTAGCTGGAATATATTAGCTAATGGGAGAGACATTCATGGTGGTGTATGTTCTTGTTGACAAAGAAAGAAAGATGAAGATAAAGAAAAGTCATGTTATGTTATTACCTGCAAAGGGACAAAGAGAGGTGTAATTGTACTTCCATCTTTTCAAAGGACCCCTATCTGCTATAAAGATAAAGAAGGCTTCGCTTGCACCAAAGGGTTGGTGTGAGTCGATGGTTACTGAAGTGGATAATTAGGAATCATGAGGTTTCACGTTTAAATTTTATTAGAAAAAAATTAAAAGAAGTACTACTGTATTTAGTAATTTCTATTCATTTATGAATATGACACATGTTATTAATAAGAGATGATAAATATTCTATGAAATTAGTCAAAATATGTTTAAATTGATGTAAACACCACGAATCTTTAAAAAAAAAAAGACTTCTCTAGCTAGCTCATGTGGGAGTTTAAAGTATGAAAGGGAATTTGAGAAAAAAAGAGTGGAGGGGACACTATAGTACTTGTTGTATAGTTACACTGATTTTATATTGGCATAATTATATATATATATTTCATTGAACTTCGATTTAGCTTGATATTTATATCTCTTAATTTTGAATTTGCATAAATAAATATTTAAATTTATATAAAATTAAACAAGTAACACATATATATCATACCAGATATAATATATGTAGGACACAACATTGTTAGATAGACTTTTTAAATTTTATATAAATTTAAATATCTATTTCTGCATAATCAAATTTAAAAGATATATTAAAGCTAAGTTAAAAAAGGGCATGTTTATGTTGTGATTTTTTTTTATAGAAATGAATGTATATTATAGCTAAAGTCTTCTCTAATGGTGCCCCTTAGTTTCAAGTTCACGTGATAGCAACTGACACATACTTTGACAAAAAAAATACCCTTCAATCTCCTCTTTCCTAGCTCCATCATCCACCATCTCTTTCACCTTCATCTTCTCCAAAAAAAAAAAAAAAGGAGAAAAAGAAAGGCCCTTAAGTGATCCCTAACAACTTGAAGTAAATATTGGGGTTGAGTGATAGTTAATTTGTAATTTTGTTAATATGTATTATTTGAGTCGAGGTTTTTTTTAGATACAATCTTTATTTTTACGAGGCAGGATAAATTCTACGTACATTTTACTTTTCTTAGACGCATTATAAAAATTTTTACTGAATATGTTATTAAAGTTTTGGTGAATTCTTCCTGCTTCCCACAGTTGAGGTGAAAGGGGTTCAGACTATCAATAGAGTAACATCCCTTTCTGCTTTACCCTTTCTCCCTTCTCCTCTAATGTGGAAAAAAAAACCAAAACTAAAATATACAAGAGAGTAATTATTTGCTTGTTAGCTTTTGCCTTTAGTCTCAACTCAAAAGAAGAAAAATTATTGTCCTTTTAATTTCTCTTTTTTTTTGTTTGGGGAGAGTTTAATTTCCCTCTTTTAAGCTTTTAAGCTTGGAATTTATAGAGTGTGTTCGATAGGAAAAAAAATAATTTATTTTTTAAAATATATTTTCCAATTATTCCATTTTTAGTGACTCCATATTTTCTCACTTTCTTTTATAAATGAAAAAAATCACTTCTTTACTAAAAAAAAAAAAAGAAACAAGTTAGAAAAGTAACGTTGTAAGTTTATTATTTCTTTCCAACACTACCACCCCCGAACCATCACTTCTCCCTCGTCTCGTCCACATAGCAAACACTAAAAAATAAAAATAAGTAAAAAATTCACTTATTGTCCAATAAAACTCACCCTATATCTCACACCGAAGGACTATTTTCTTGTATTTAGGTGTTTGCTCGATTCACAAAGCATCTCTTTTAAAAAAATTGCGTTAATTATACTATATACATTTGGCCAATTCTAAAGTCGACAAGTAAAAGTAATTCAAACTAACAAAGCATATTACTACCTCAGATTTTTGAGGTAATATATTACAACAGTAAGAGTTTGCGTTGTGTGAGCAGAAGCTACGATGGCCTCTTCCTCACGAGTAGTCAGTCAGTCTATAGAAAATGTTTTTAAGGCAAAAGCAACTTTTGACCAGAATGCTCAGAACTACATGTCACTTTCACTAAAAAGAAAAACCTATCTCTTCCATAATTAAAAAAAAAAACCACCATAACCCCTCTTTCTAATTACCCCACTTTTTTTTTTCCCCATCAGAATGACTTTGTACCAAGTTATAGATAGTGATATTTTGGTGTTGAATAATTAGAGCCAAATATCATATTAGTATTAGTGTAGCACACACTCATTAGAAAAAAGAAAAAAATTCTACTTGTACTTCCTGCTCATGATGTTTACAATAGACTTCCCTTATAAACCCTACCCATTCAGCCATTATTGTCCATCTACTTTTAGTTTTTATTTTATTTTCTATAAATATTTTGAATGCAAATTTGATTAATTTGGATGTCTTATTAATTAAAGAGTAAGTAAAGCATTAATTCTAATTAACTATACTAGGTGTACTGGAGTAATTCCCAATCATCATACTGTATACCTTGGTGGTAATTATGCTTTGTACTTGTTATCGATGTTCGCAAGACCTCTTCTAAATGCTTAAATCGCACATCGCTAATTAATGAAATAAGTTGAATCCTTATATAACTGGTTTGAGTTAGATTTGAGATTTAATTTTACATGTAATTAGAATAGAACTCATTTCACTTTATTTATTAAAAAATGACAAAAGTCGTACATAAATCTTGTGCTATCACTTTTTACAATTTTATGAAGCAAGTTCAATAAAACATTTTCTATCAGACAATTTTCATTCACGAAATTCAAACTCGATCAGGTATATATAATCACTTTTATCATATTCTTTTAATAGTAATTCTCTTCTTAAGCAAGTTCAATAAAACATTTTCTATCAAACAATTTTCATTCACAAAATTCGAACTCGATCAGGTATATATTAATCACTTTTATCATATTCTTTTTATAGTAATTCTCTTCTCTTTTTTTTTTGCTTATGATGTTTACTAGACCTCCCTTAAAACCCTAGCCATTAATTGAGTCCACTAGTCCATCTTCTTTCCTTTTTCACTTCATTTTTAGCCATCTAACTTCCTTCTTCAATGTTAAGTAAAGCCACTAATAACTTAACTTTTCCTTTCCATATATACATGCCGCCGCCTTTGCAAATACTTGCACATTATATTGCATATATCCTTCAATTTCAAGTCCTAAAAAGTATAGTGGTGGTGGGGAATATTAATTATTAATATATATATGTGGGTTGACCTATTTAAGAATTTTAGACTCTCTGGCATTATTATTATTTGGAGAACCACAATAAATGGTCTACCTGAAGGGGTTGTCCTGGAAGTTGCTTTCACAAGTCTAGATAACTATGAACATAAAAGGGATGATGTATAATGTACCATTTATGGTTGGGTGACAATGAGAGCTTATATTGCCCTATAATTCAAGTGCTTTCATTATTTGCTTTGATAAACTAGGAAAAGGAGTGGGGAGAAGGTCTTATTCTTTCATCTAACTACTAGGCGGATCCACATGGAGTCCGCCAGGTCTCCAGCATCTATTACCTTCATCTCGGAATATATATATATCTATAAAAAAATCTAAAGGTATTTGTACTTTCAGAGCACCCTTAAAATACTAGTTACTACTATATATCACTCCTTTTTGTAGCATATGATACTTAAATTAATTTAAATTTGCATTACGTTAGATCTATTCAAGGGAGAAACGCTTGTATATAAACATTAGCTTTTACACATACTTTGCACAAATATTAAAAAATCCATCAAAGTACTTATAGATATTTGATTGTAAGTTCAATTATTATGATATATTAACTGATTGAGGATGCCATAAGAAGTTATAAACTTCAAATCGAGGTCCCCCCCCCCCCCTCCAACTCCTACCAGAGGTTCTCATGGCTCAACCCGGAGATCTTTTAGAGGGAATTGAATGAATTTTATCCATCCCCAACTCAAGGGAGGAGCTAGAAGGTCTCTATTAAGAAATAAAGATTTTTCGCTATGCAAATCAATGAAAATTTTATGTAATCATCAGCTCACTGAAAAAATATATGGCGAGAGACGTATTCTCGTTGAAATACCTAACAGTTCCATATGAAAATATTACTATTTTTTCTCACCAATTCAATCAAAATATCTATAAAAATAATCAATACACATTTTTAAATAAGAAACTTGAATGGTAAAATAATGACTTTATAGTAGTGGGTCATCTACGAGTTTGACCGAAGAGTGCAACCTCTGTATTTGTATTACTATTCACTAAAACATGCACAAAACTTAAATCAATATGTTATTACTTGATATTCCAATCATAAAACTTCAAATTCTGATTCGTTATACTAGCCCTTAGATTTTATTAGTACCATAATTGAAAATTCTTTTACCTACTGTTCCTTAATTTGTCTTACCTCTTACAGGCTGGATACAGTGCACCTTTGCACTGTGAAATTATAGCAGATGAACCATTTGCTATTCCTAGTAAAAAATCTGTAACGGGATAGGTTTTCAGG